GCCGGCCTGAACGTTCTCCGTGTCGTGAACGAGCCTACCGCTGCTGCTCTTGCCTACGGTATGGAGAAGGAGGCTGACCGTGTCGTCGCTGTCTACGATCTCGGTGGTGGTACCTTCGATATCTCCGTCCTTGAGATCCAGAAGGGCGTCTTCGAGGTCAAGTCCACCAACGGTGATACTCACCTTGGTGGTGAGGATTTCGATATTCACCTCGTCCGCAACATCGTTGCCGAGTTCAAGAAGGAGACCGGTGTCGACCTTACCGGTGACCGTATGGCCATCCAGCGTATTCGTGAGGCCGCCGAGAAGGCCAAGATTGAGCTGTCCTCTTCTCTCCAGACTGAGATCAGCCTTCCCTTCATCACTGCTGGCGCCAGCGGAGCCTTGCACATCACCCAGAAGATGACTCGCTCTCAGCTCGAGGCTCTGGTTGACCCCCTTATCTCCCGCACCACTGAGCCCGTCCGCAAGGCCCTGAAGGATGCCAACCTCCAGTCTGGCGACATCCAGGACATCATCCTCGTCGGTGGTATGACCCGTATGCCCAAGGTCACTGAGTCCGTCAAGTCCATCTTCGGCCGTGAGCCCTCCAAGTCCGTCAACCCTGACGAGGCTGTCGCCATCGGTGCCGCCATTCAGGGTGCCGTCCTGGCTGGTGAGGTCACTGACGTCCTCCTGCTCGATGTCACTCCTCTTTCCCTCGGTATCGAGACCCTCGGCGGTGTCTTCACCCGTCTAATCAACCGTAACACTACCATCCCCACCAAGAAGTCCCAGACCTTCTCCACCGCTGCTGATATGCAGACCGCTGTCGAGATCAAGGTCTACCAGGGTGAGCGTGAGCTCGTCCGTGACAACAAGATGCTGGGCAACTTCCAGCTCGTTGGTATTCCCCCCGCTCACCGCGGTGTTCCCCAGATCGAGGTTACCTTCGACATTGACGCTGACTCTATCGTCCACGTCAACGCCAAGGACAAGTCCACCAACAAGGATCAGTCTATCACCATTGCCTCCGGCTCCGGTCTTTCCGATGCCGAGATCCAGTCCATGGTTGAGGAGTCCGAGAAGTACGCTGAGACTGATAAGGAGCGCAAGGCCGCCATTGAGGCTGCCAACCGTGCCGACAGCGTCCTGAACGACACTGAGAAGGCCCTCAAGGACTTCGAGGACCGTCTTGACAAGGCTGAGGCCGAGACTATCAAGGAGAAGATCGCTACTCTCCGTGAGTTCGTTGTCAAGAGCCAGTCTGGCGAGAGCACCACCACTGCTGAGGAGCTCAAGGAGAAGGTCGACGATCTCCAGACTGCCAGCTTGACCCTGTTCGACAAGATGCACAAGGCCAACAACGAGCAGCAGCAGCAGCAGCAGCAGGGTGGTGAGCAGCAGGGTGAGAACAAGCAGTAAATGCTTTCCCTTCTAACTGCCACACCTGAACCGTAAATGGTTCCTGTATTTTTCCATCAATTTCCTTTTTTTTTTTTCCTTTGTGTTCAGAGACTCCCTGATTTTGCATCTCCTTTCCTCGCATTTACTTGTACACATACTTTCAAGGTCCTTTTTTACCCCTTTGCGTTTTCCGGTGTATCGGTGTTTAACTACCACACCCATGTATGATCCTATATTCTTTTCTCTTCTGCCCTCGTGCCACTATTCGGGTTAATTGCCTGGAAGTGATCATGCCGGGATTGTCTACAATTGTATCTAATGACATTACGGCAGGGGGCCACAAAAAAGGATGTGGTAGGCTTTGGCTTTCATGGGCATGTGACAATAGAAATCGAACAATTCTCCTCTCGCTTTACAATTATTTTCTTCCAACTTCCAACTGTGGGATTTAGTTGTATCACTGTGCATGTGTGCATATGTAAGTGACATGGGCAATTGGAATTTGCTGGCTCACGGATGCAGCCGTAGTTGCTTCCGGCCTATCATTTCCAACTCGACATGTACATCCATGTAATCGGCATTTGAAACCGGCCAATCCAGACTTCATAGGCACAGAGGCAAACAACACAATGCTCAAATCAACTGTAATATGATACGCTTTCTCGCTTTGCAGCATGTAAGCCGTTGCCACCCACCCACACTCTGCATATGGCATGGCAATATGGCGTTGGTAATCATGATAGTCCAGAATATCCATTCGCCCGCTTATGCGGCATCTGCCCTTGACGATGTAGGACTCTAAAAATCCGATATATCTAGCTACAGGTGATATATGGGCCGTTATATTTGACATAATACTACGAAGCCTTCTTTGTATGTCTTTTCGGACGTCTTTCTCTTCTCCGTGTTACAGCTAGAAATATATATAGATATATAAAAGGCGGTAAAAAAAGCATCAAACGTACAGGCGCCTCTTCTACGCATAACCAGGGATATAACAACCAATGAAAGTAATACTGGCTACGTTAACCATTATTACGACGGGATAGGCAGTGGTAGCAGTGGCTATTATTACCCGAAATACGGAGTACAAAGTGCATTTTAACGCGTTTAATAACAAGTATATTATTGGACTCTCAGCATTATATCCACCGCAAAGTCAAATATCTGGAGTAACGACAACGATGATAGGCTAGAAGCTCCCAACTGGCGCACCGGTTTTGACCCTTAGTCCCGCCAGAACATACGTTGAGCTAGTCACCTGAAACTGTATGGCTTTCAATCTCTATTAATTTAAATCAGGTGTCTGCACCTCCACTTTGCTACCAACGTACAAGGTTTGAACTGCAGTCTGTTTGGTTGGACCAATCGACACTGTAGTCTCCTCATCCTTGCATTATCCACAAAGGATCAAGACTAGTCACTAGTGAATGATAGGAGAATTTGGTCGAGAGGGGCTAGAGTTGAAGGAGGTATGAGAGAGGGGTATAAGGGAGTAGCCAGGCACAAAATATATTAATCTAGGTAATATGTAGGTTTCTGCAAGCTTCTATTGTGTCCCTTGTGTCCCCTTGATTTCAACAATGCTTAATCTTAAAATTACCCTTGATATATTACATCTTCATAGGAGCCGGGGAGAAAACAAGATTTGGCCGTACATTAAAACAAGAACTCGAGAAAAGCAACGTCTGCCATCAGGCCAATCTGGACTCGAGCCGAGTGACAGAGCGAAGCAACTGTGCAGGCTTCTCTGCAGCGGTGCAGTCCAGCAGCAAATCATAGTTGTACACAGCAGTTGGGCTGCCAAAGTGGGTCTTTTGCAATGACGATGTTTGTACGGAGTAAATAAATACAATTTCTAATAAGATTATGTAGGCTTTGGGGAGTTCAATGCAGAACATTTGAAATAGACACGGGGAAAGGGAGATGTGTGGTCCGTACTATACTAAATTTGTAACTATGACTGCCACTACCGGTAACGGTAATAGATTGGATATTGTACATCAGCATCTGAAGTGTAAGATGACTCTTAAATTAAATCCCGGTCCAAGTATTCTGTAGAAAATTTTCGAATCTCACCCATTCGTCGATCACTTCTTGTGTGAGACCATCTGCCTTGGCGTGCCCCTAGTACGCATGATTATTTCCATGTCCCCACTCTGTTGACATGTGTGGTTTTTTTTTTCCCCTTCCTTTCTCCAGGGCTTTTCCCTTTTTGCCATTGCTTTTACAAGCTAAGCCCTCCAGGGCGTTGCTGCAGACCCATAACCATACCTCTGAGGAAATACCCAAGTCACTTGAGCAAAAAATCCATCCAAGACCCATATTATGGCTACAGGCACTAAATATGTGGGTTGACTTTTCCTTGATTTCTAATCTGAGATGTTACCTAGCTATACGGAGTAATTTATTGTAGGTTTGGGAGAGATACATAACAAATCAAATAGATTGATGCCACCAGACAATAATATGTGGAGAGTAAACAAGAATGGTGTCCATACCAGGTACATGGAACATTTCAAGATCCAATGTGATTCTTCCCGCTTCTATGGCTACCATGGAACTTCTCAGGAACATGTATTACATAATGATCTCCAGGATGAGCGCGGAGAGTACAAAGTAGATCTGTTGCTTATTATTGGATGGTTAGCTAGGAAGTATTCAATTACGGAGGCTCTGGTTCGAGGCTCTAACTATCGAGTTTAGCTTTCCAAGGTTGTTTTAGGGTGTATAGAAACATAAACGAATTACTATAATAAGGTATGTTCCAAGGTTATTCCTACTTTCTCCGGGGAAGCTAAATTGAAAAGAATTATTGAAACATGAATTACTCCGTATCCATTACTTATATTACTTTGAAAAGCCTTGGACCAATGACGCTGGGTGACTGCAGTCAGAATTTTTAGACTTGTCATGTTCAGAGTTCCCCTGAAGATGTCAAGTGACTTTCAATTTTATTTATTTGGAAATGTCGATCATTGGTCCGGTATATTAGGCTCCATTCTGATCCAAGGTAAATGAAATTTTCTATGATTGTGATTTGTTTACATGTTAGCGTCGAGTCAATTCCATGGATGAGTTGTTGTTTCTTTGGTATCCATCGACTGTTCTGGGAAATTAAAAAACATTCTCTTGAATGTTACTCCTATATTAGATGTCCATATTATATACCTTATACGGTATACCTATATTATTCCAATATCCTATTCAATACTAGATGTGTCTACGGAGTACGATCAATCACAATCGAGATCCCCTGAGATCCCCTTACGCCGTTACGGGAATTTTTCAAGATAACGGGGGTGCAGAAGGGTCACGCTAGTGGAAAAGTCATTTCTTATTTTCTATTATTATATTATTTGACATTTTATTTTATTTTATTTCACTATTATTATAGATTCTAGTTAGCTCAAGGTCTGCATGTCAATCCTTTCCAAACCGTCGACCCATAGATCGGAGATGGGTCCCTTTCGATTGTCTCATCCTGTTTTCTATTTTTCTATTTTTTTCTTTTTCCCTTTTCCCTTTTTTGACTTCTTCATACTCTCTCTTCTTTAGCTTTTGGTGCAGGAGGGTTCTAAACTGTATAACCTCTAGCACCTCCATCCATAACAATGACAACTGCACCGCCAGTGCATCATCCTGGCCCCGATAGTGGTATACCCGGCCATCTCGTCAACCATCTTCCTCGCTATCACCCTATTGCTATGAATCCGAATCCGCCTCCACACCAAATGCCACCTCCGGAGCAGATGGTGCAGAGCCACCATTTCCGTCATTTTGCGCCGCCTATGCATGAACATCATCCTCCGCAAGGAGTGCCACCAGTACACAGTCCAGCTTCTTTGGAACATATTGAAGCTCGACTCCGGCATCTAGAGCATGAGGAAATGGCTCGGAATGCAGCCCGTAGTCGCATTCTGGCAATGCGCAAGCATGAAGACGAGGAATTTCGGTCAATGACCGAGCGAGCCGAGGCAGAGGAAGAGGTAAGCCGAATTTTGATACCCGTTTGGGGAATTGGAATTCTAAAACAAGATAGGACCTTCGAAGACAACGCAAAAAGTTAAAGAGAGAGTCGATGGGTCTGGGACTCAACGCTACGAGCGACTCGCCGCCTCTACGTCCCACACCACCTCGCCGATTATCAGAGACTAGTGCAGCAACAACATTGGCTTTCTTCAAGCAGCAGAGCCCCCCCCGAGCCCCGTCAAGCACCCCTTCCACCTTCATCTCAGGCACCACCCCCCTCGATGCCACCACCTCACATGCATGCTCAAGCTCATGCTCAAGCTCATCACCAAGCTCCCCCGCCTCCCCCGCCATCTCAGCATCCACACCCAATGCTTTCCCATGACTCAATACACAGTGCGGGCTCCATCCGCCGCAAGCAAAAATACACTATCAAAAATGTAGAGGCATGGGGCGAACGCCACGGTCGACCCGCAGCCCATGACCCATCCGGGCGAGCGTTGTGGAAGCGACCCTCCGACGGAAGCTTAGTATATCTCACCTGTCCGATCCATGGCTGCGGGAAATCCGACTTTGTCACCCTCCACGGCTTTATGTGCCATCTCACCAAGAAACACAAAGACCGCACACTGGGCAGCCAGTCCCGTGCCCTCGAAGTCTGTGGTGTAGTCTACGACCCGAACGCTCCCCTCCCGCCAGTCATGAACAGCCACCGTGCCTCAACAGAAGGAAGCCCGCTGGGCTCTATTCCCATGGACCACGAAGGCGACCAGCACTACGATGACATGGACTCCGAGTCCGAGGGTGAACTCGAACGCGAGGGCTCCTACCGAGTCAAAACCGAAGTTATAGATCGGTTCATGCCCGAGGCCGAGGGCACTCCCATTGAATCTGCTGCGGTAACATCTCCTAAGCACGCAACCAACGGATCAACCAAGCAGTCCATCTCGTCTATTATCGACCGCACCCCGGAAACTGATTCCCGAGAGGTGTTGGCGACACTTCCAACGTCAGAATCGGGTATTCAGGGTCCATCCCCTACACCAACCGAGTCATCTGTGCCTTCGAAGCGCAAATACGAATTCTCACCGCCAGCTGCGGAAAAGGAAAACGCGGAGCCTTAGATGCTGCCCATGCGGAGTAATGTTTATCCTCAATGTCGATTTCCGCCGGCAATACATATATACACCTACATAATTCTTTCTTGAGCGTCTGCGAATATCAGGGCTCTCGATATGATAATCAATTGCATCATGTTACTATCACATCTCTTTGTTGCTGTATCTTTTTAAAATGCTGTCTTCGACCATGTTGTGTCTTTGGATACCCTTTCGTTATACCTGGGTGGTCCTGATGTCTTTTATTTCGTTTGATATAGCAGCTTGACGCTGTGTGTGATCATAATATAATGCTTTCATTGCTAATTGCATACATCTGGCTCATCCATATGTCTGCTGCAGCAAACATCCTCTACTTGTGTAACATGTAACAATCGGGGTAAATGAAAACGCTTAGTCGGCTTTTACTCTTTTGACACAAAGAGAGCCTTGCCTATTCGAAAACACGATTCGGGTCTTTCTCTGTCAATTCGGGAAATGGGATGCTGTAACTGCAACTGTTTCGAGATATCGGTAGCATTCTTGCCATCCATGGATATGGTATATACTTAAAAGCTCAAACAAACCGAACATATGTTAAGATCTAGACATTGAGAAGACCATCTATCCTTATCAGAAGTCTGAACCAGATCCATGTTTACATCAGTCTGACTCCCCTTCAAAAGTCTCTCGGGTTTAGCTCGAAATTGTTCCTCCAAACAATCTCGCTAGTTGTGGCGATCTCGATGTACTTTGTACCTAGTGATTTTAGTAAAGGGGAGCTTGGGCATCCAAGTTAGCTACATGCAATATCTACTTATGTTGTATCTGTAGTTGTACTTGTCTATTTATCCTTCGCCAATAACAAATGTATCAAATATCCAGACCCGCTCTTAAGTCCCTCTCCAAGCACATCATCACTCAACCTCCAAACCCGGAACTCCCGCATTGTCTCCCTGAGCCAAGTCTCAAACACATCCGGTGACCTCTGCTGCTGCGCAATAATGCAAACCGTCGGCTTGCGGCGAGAGCTCTGTTCCTCTGAAGCAGCTACATACGCCGGCCGTAGTCGACAGATCTCGGCGCAGGTGCGCACGAACGGTGCCACGAGTGCTTCGTTGTAGATGCAGTCACAAGAAAGGAGCAGGTCGAAGCCTTTATCTTCGTCTCCTTCTTCCTCTCCATTTTGGCCATGAGTGCCGTCGGAATCCATACATTCTTTCAGCGACGCAGCCTGGTCAGTTTCCCAGTCCAGGGTTGTGAAGGAGATATTATTGACAGGCTTGGCGGGAAACGATGTAGGTTTTGATTTAGATGATTTGGATCCCTTGCTCTTGCCCTTTCCTTTGTTGCTGCTGTTGCTAGAAGAGACAGATACGGACGCATTGGCATCAAGATTCGTCCGGAACAGCTTGCGCACGTATTCCTGGTCTGTGGCGATGTAGTGGCGCACAGAGGGGGCCAGTACGAGCGCAACTAGAGCTGAGATCCCGGTGCCGAGTTCAACTACTGTTGAGGTCCGGCTGAGGAGGGCATTTGTCCAAAGTGGATTTGATGGGTTGGTTACCCATTCTGCGAAGAGGGGGGTGATTTTCCATAGAACTGAGTTCTTACGTTAGTACTGATCTAATTTTGGGATGGATGGTGATGGCAGTGATCATGAAAGCGGGGGATGTGTGGATATGTAGTTTGGGTGGAGAGCCAAGGTATTCCAAAGTATGGATAGGGAAAAAGCCAAGAGACTGTCGAGCAGGTGACTATCAGATCTCGTGTTGGGGGAGGGGAGTACAGGACAGTGTTAGGGCCCGAGTCAAAAATGAGAGACATTCACGCCGATAGCCGAGGCACAGGCAAATAGATACGACGCCGCAACCCTCGGGCCTAGTCTAGGCACTTCGGACTCGGGGTAAAAGAGCTGCGGTGTAGTCCGAGCTTGAGTTTTCGTGTCTCTGGGGGATTCCGGGGGCAAATTATGAACTGGTGCAGATCATGGAGCTCTGAGTATGTGTACACTGTACTTACCGGCGCCTGTAGTACCTCCCGCTCGATGAGAGGAGAGTAGTGATGGTGATTGATGGGTTATGTATTCATTGCCATTGATAGAGATCTCTACTGATGGTGCACGAGGATTGAGCATCCCTAGGTTGTTGCTTGCGATATCTTGCGCGAAGAGGAGAAATGATTCTATAGTTCTCAGTAGCTATACTTGGGATCATCGTAAAGGGTGGCGTACCCTCATCCACGTCGATGACCTCTTCGCCATTGGCGAGTAAATTGATGAGTTGGTCCATGAGTTAATATCCAGATGTTGGAATATTTGATTTTACAGCGTTTTTAGATCACGGGACCAGATATGAAAATCCCTATAATTCATGTTTGTACAGATTCCGAGGTCGTGATTCCGAGGTTCTATACTTGTAAATAATTGTTGGGAACTCAACAGAAAAAAAGAAAACGGGTATTGATCTGCCGGTTAAACATGTCAAGTATGTAGGTACGAACTTGCTAAATAACAGCTATTTCCAATTTCAGGTTATATATCAAAATGGTCACAGTCAAGAAATAAATTAGATAAAAATTTAAGGAAAAAAAGGGCTCGTGCCAGGACTATATAAACAAAGAAAAGGGTAGGCCGAAAAACCCTTGGACTCCTGCGTCATATGCCGTAGACCAGCCACATCTATCTAACCTTGAGCGCCAACTTTCTCCTCTTTTCCCCCGAATGCTCAGATACAATAATACCTTTTATTCCTTCATTTGGTAAGATTCATTCATTCCATTATAAGTCTTCCCAGCTTGCAGTTGTGTTTTTTCCCCTTGCAAGGTAACTCTGCGCTATTCCCGCACTAGCTAACCTCAGACCCCTCGAGCAGAGGAACTTTTCTTCGAGTTTCCCCGATCCCCCCGACTCCTTCCCCTTTTCCCTTAAGCGAGCCATACAGCCAATATGTCGACACAAAATATCGTCATCCAGCCGCGCATGGTCAAGAAGGGTCCCTTCTCGGTCGAGGCGCCCGGATACGAGCGTGTCCCCGGCGAGACAATCCCCCGTCGCCACCCTAAGGCCAAGGATGGTCTCATTACGACACTTGAAGATGTCTCTACCACCTACGAGAACTTTCGCCGAGCTGCTCGCGTCTTTGGCAACTCCAAAGCTGTCGGCAGTCGCCGTCTAATCAAGACCCATGTGGAGAACAAGAAAATCAAGAAGATCGTAGATGGTGTCGAACAGGAGGTCGACAAGAAGTGGACCTATTTTGAAATGAGTGGTTACACTTATAAGACTTTCCTCGAATATGAGAAGCTCTGTTTGGAGCTTGGTAGCGGTCTCCGCAAGCTGGGCATCGAGAAAGACGGCAGAATCCACCTCTACGGTGCGACAAGGTAAGAGACACATTACGCCTCGAGAGAGATTCTGGGCAGGATCACTGACTTGATTGCCCTTGATAGCGCACATTGGCTGGCCATGTCACACGGTTCGTTACCCTTCTTTTTTTTCTTTCGTGGCCCGCAAATGAACCCGCTAACCTGCTATTACAGGCGCTGCCTCTCAGTCCGTGACCATCGTGACCGCATATGATACCCTAGGCGAGGAAGGTCTTCAGCACTCTATCGTTCAAACTGGCAGCACTGCCATCTTCCTCGACCCCAGCTTGTTGGGGTCGCTCATCAGCATCCTCCGGGGCGTACCCTCAATCAAGCACATTATCTACAACACCGACACGGAAATCGACCAGAAGCTTCTTGATAAATTACACAGCGAGTTTATCCACATCAATGTGCTGAGCATCGATGAATTGCGCAAGCAGGGCGAAGAGAACCTTGTGGAGCCTGTTCCCCCCAAACCAGAGGACCTGTGCTGCATCATGTACACATCGGGCACAACAGGCCCACCAAAGGGTGTGCCATTGACCCAAGCGAATGTGATCGCTGCCAGTAAGCTGAAAACAACGGTTGGAACCACTGTATACCAAACTAATCTCTCGCAATAGCTGCTGGTGTTCACGCCGTCATCGGTCCCTGTATCAACCACACGGACTCCCTCCTGACCTACCTTCCTCAATCTCATATTCTGGAATTCATGTTCGAGAACATTTGCTTGTTCTGGGGCGGCACCATGGGATACGGTAACCCCCGAACATTGTCCGATGCCTCCATGCGGAACTGTCTGGGCGACATCAAGGAGTTCAAGCCTACCGTTCTGGTCGGTGTTCCGGCCGTGTGGGAGTCAGTGAAGAAGGGTGTGTTGGCCAACCTAAACAAGACCAGTTTCATTGTTAAGGGTATGTTCTGGGGTGCCATGTCGGCCAAGAGCTTCCTCATGAGCACCGGCTTCCCTGGGTCCAGCCTAGGCGCCTCGATCTTGGACAGCGTTGTCTTCAAAAAGCTAAAGGAGGCAACTGGAGGCAGACTCCGTGTTGTCTTGAATGGCGGTGGTCCCATCTCCAAGGACACACAGAAGTTCTTGTCAATGGCTATCGCCCCCATGATTAGCGGCTACGGTCTAACCGAGACCTCTGCCATGGGTGCCCTGAACGACCCCTTGGCCTGGAACCCCGATGCCCTGGGTGAGATTCCCGCCTCGATCGAGGTTAAGCTTGTTGACTTCCCCGATGCTGGATACCTGACCTCGAACAACCCACCCCAGGGTGAGATTTTCATCCGCGGTGGCAGTGTGACCACGGGATACTATGATAATGAGGAGGAGACCAAGGCTGCTATCACTGACGATGGCTGGTTCATGACCGGTGACATTGGCGAGTTCGATCGCCACGGCCACCTGAACGTCATTGACCGCAAGAAGAACCTGGTCAAGACCCTGAACGGTGAATACATCGCTCTCGAGAAGCTCGAGTCTGTCTACCGCTCGTCTCCCGTGGTTGGCAACATCTGTGTCTACGCCGCCCAGGACCAAGACAAGCCCGTCGCAATCATTGTCCCCGCCGAGCCAGCACTGAAGAAGATTGCCAAGGAGCACGGCATCGATGGTGACAGCCTTGAGACTCTCGTCCACGATGAAAAGCTCA